AGTTTTATAGTTTCTCTGTTTTATGAGTAGTTATTTCCTTTTGAATTAGTCTACCATGTTATTAGGAAGTGCTAGTAGTGGGTGAAAACATGTGTAGTTTTTTTTGTTTCAGTTTCTCATCTGTAAGGCTATATATGAGTCAAGTTATTTCTTTCAATATATCAAATATTCCTTCTGTCAATTTCCTTATACTTTCACATACGAATTTTAGTTCCTAACAAGGATTTGGTAGTATACTAATGGCAGAACTAATAGTTAGTAGTGCACTCACCATCTAGTCTTTTACAAAAGCAAATTATATGAATCATGAAAATGGTGACCCTAGGATCATGGGTTCGAACCCTGCTAGAAATAGCCTCTCTATTATAAAAAGTAGGGGTAAGACTGCGTACATCCGATCCTCCAGAACTCATAAAATGGGAGTGAAAATAACTTTAAAGTGGAGGCCAAAATAATTCAAACTTTGGAAAAAGTATGAGTGGAAAATTTTGTAATGCTTTTGTACAAAGACTTTCAAAAGATTACTTGTGTCACTCACTGATCATGCAATTTTTTATTGTCTTTTATAAGCGCATTGTAACTCCAAAATCAACCATCACCACTTACAATATAACACCAACACAAAAGAATCTGCAACATCAGACCATACCCTTGATTCAAAAATCCTTTTATACTTGAAGAATCATGATAGCTTGTTGGAAGATTCTCTTCATGATCCTTTTAACAGTACTTTTTCCTCAACAAGTAGCTGGTTTTCCCAAAATCACGTCTTTGACCTCTACTACGGTTAATGATCAAGCTTCCATTGAAGACAGTGAAGCAAATGCTCTGTTAAAGTGGAAAGATAGCTTCGAAAACAACAGCCAAGGTCTCTTGTCAACTTGGACAAAAGCTACTAGTCCATGCAAATGGGAAGGAATTCAGTGTGACAAATCAAAATCCATCACTAGCATAAATCTTGCAAATTATGGACTCATAGGTAAACTCCAAACTTTTAGCTTCTCTTCATTCCCGAACCTTGTCGGGCTAAATATCTATAACAACTCCTTTTATGGGACCATTCCTCCACAAATTGGTAACCTGTCCAAAATAAATGTTTTGAAATTTTCTACAAACCTACTAGAAGGTTCCATCCCTAAAGAAATGTGGACAATGAGGAGTTTAAAAGTCCTTGATTTTATGGTATGTCAGCTAAGTGGGGAAATTCCTACATCCATAGCCAACTTGACTAACCTATCTTATCTAGATTTCATGGACAACAAATTTTCTAGTGGCTATATACCTCGTGAGATAGGAAAACTCAACCACTTGGAGTATCTATCTTTTGCAGGTTGTAACCGTATTGGTCCCATTCCCCGAGAAATTGGAATGTTGACAAAACTCGGTTTTATGGATTTGTCGCGTAACACTCTATCTGGTACCATTCCAGAAACAATTGGTAACATGAGCAGTTTAAATAAACTTTACCTTTCTAATAACACATTGTCTGGAACAATCCCAGTCTCCATGTGGAACATGTCTTACTTGTCCGTGCTCTTCCTTAGTAACAATAAACTCTTTGGATCAATCCCTTCTTCTCTACAAAACTTGGTCAATTTGAAGGAACTTTCATTTCGTTCCAACAACTTTTCTGGACCTATTCCTTCCTCAATCGGAAACTTGACAGAGCTAATGAGATTATACTTGTACAGTAATCATTTTTCAGGGCCAATTCCTGCTTCTGTCGGAAATATGATCAATATGTTGTTCCTCAATTTGCTTGATAACGATCTTTCAGGCACTATTCCTTCTACAATTGGAAATTTGACAGGGTTAATGGCCTTGGAATTGGCCACCAATAAATTGCATGGTAGCATTCCACAAAGCCTATATAACTTTACCAACTTGCGTGCCTTTTCATTGGAGGATAATGATTTCTTTGGCCCTTTGCCACCTCAAGTATGTTCTGGTGGATTTCTACTATACTTCACTGCTTTTCACAACCATTTCACCGGTCCAGTTCCAAAAAGCTTGAAAAACTGCTCTAGTATTCAAAGAATTAGGCTTGAGGGTAATCAACTAGAAGGTGATATAACCCAAGATTTTGGTGTATATCCAAATTTGAAATACATTGATCTGAGTGACAATAAACTTCATGGTCAGATTGCACCAAACTGGGGAAAGTGTCCTAATCTTAATACCTTCATGATATCCAACAATAATATCTCTGGTGGCATACCGTTAACACTTCTCGAGGCAAACCAACTAGGAAAACTCCACCTTTCTTCAAATCACTTGACGGGAAAGCTTCCAAAGGAACTTGGATACCTGAAATCATTACTTGAAGTTAAGCTCAGCAACAATCATCTTTCAGGAAATATTCCAAGTGAAATTGGATTGCTAGAGAATCTCGTAGATTTTAATGTAGGAGGAAACATGTTGAGTGGCACAATACCAAATGAAGTTGTGAAGTTACCCTTGTTACGGAACTTGAATTTGAGCACAAACAAAATTGAAGGGGGAATTCCGTCAGACTTTGACCTGTCACAGCCTCTTGAATCTCTTGATCTTAGCGGGAATTTGTTGAGTGGAACAATACCAACAGTTCTAGGAGAGTTGAAGCAACTGCAAAAGCTGAATCTGTCATGCAATAATCTTTCTGGCAACATTCCATCTAGTTTTGAAAATTCCATGTCAAGCTTGACTTATGTCAACATATCAAACAACCACTTAGAAGGGAGGCTACCAAATAATCAAGCCTTTCTCAAGGCTCCAATTGAATCATTAAAAAACAACCAAGGCTTGTGTGGTAATCACACTGGCTTAGAGCTTTGCCCAACCAACCACAGTCAAAAGAGCCACAAGATCATCCTACTTATATTGTTTATTATTTTTGGTGCTCTGATTGGGGTGGGAATTTCGATGTATATTCTTTTTCGGAGATCAAGAAAGACAAAAACCAAAGGCAAAGATTCTAAAGAAGCAAAAGCAGATGAAGTCTTTTCCATATGTAGTCATGATGGAAAAATGATGTTTGAAAATATCATTGAAGCTACCAATAATTTCGATGACGATTTTCTCATTGGAGTGGGAGGAGAAGGATCTGTTTACAAGGCTAAGTTGTCTGCAGATATGGTTGTTGCAGTTAAGAAACTTCACTCGCGAACAAATGGGGAGAGGCCCAATTTCAAAGGCTTTGAAAATGAAATTCAAGCTTTGACAGAAATCAGGCATCGTAACATCATAAAGCTCTATGGATATTGTCAACATTCAAGATTCTCAATTTTGGTATATAAGTTCTTGGAAGGTGGAACTTTGACTCAAATGCTAAACAATGACACACAAGCCACTGCATTTGATTGGGAAAAGAGGGTGAATGTTGTTAAAGGTGTCGCCAATGGTTTGTCCTATATGCATCACGACTGCATACCTCCGATAGTTCATCGTGACATATCAAGCAAGAACGTTCTTTTGGATTTATCATACGAAGCTCAACTTTCAGATTTTGGAACAGCCAAGTTTCTAAAGCCTGATTCAAGCAGCTGGACCACATTTGCAGGAACCTTTGGGTATGCAGCTCCAGGTTAGACCCCCTTTTCCTTTCTATATAATATGCAAGCTACTATAGTTATAAGTTTTTGTGCAAAAGCCTATTAATTGTTTTAAGCGTGTTAACTTTAAAGTCTTAATTTGATTGTAGAGTTTGCCCAAACAATGGAAGTGACTGAGAAGTGCGACGTTTACAGTTTTGGAGTTCTTTGTTTTGAAATCCTTCTGGGAAAGCATCCAGCAGATTTCATTTCTTCATTGTTCTCATCATCGACAGCAGCAATGACTTATAATTTGCTGTTGATTGATGTGTTAGACAACCGCCCTCCTCAACCTACCAATTCAATTGCTGGGGATGTCATCTTGATTACACGATTAGCATTTAGTTGCTTGAGTGAAAATCCATCTTCTCGGCCCACCATGGATTATGTTTCAAAAGAGTTAATGATGAGAAAATCACAGTCACCTTTAGTGGACCAGTTCCCGCAGATCAGACTTGGACAACTCCACTAAAAACATCCAGCTACTCAGTAGTACACTCCTTATCTTATCAAGCTTTCCTGGTAATTATTGTATAATTATGTCATGTCATGTGTACTAGTTTACTTTTGTCATCCTTAGTGGTGTATGACTGTGTTCATGCATTCTTGCTTAAGAGATGTTGCTTTCAATAAAATATAAAGCAGAGTGGGTTAATTTTTCATTTATCTTCAAAGAGGAAAAATTATTTATTTCTGAGTTGACTGAAAAAAAAACTTTAGTTATTGATAACCAAAGTAATTTTTTATCTATTAAAGCACGTGCTTGTATATGGGATGAGAAAATGAGCACAATGATGAGTGGATATATAGCTAATTGGTAGAAGTCTGAATGACAATATAATTTAATCGATAGTAATATACTTATCAACAAACATGTGTTTGAAATTGAAGCTTAAGAGGGTGCAAAAAACTAACCATATCTATATAAAATAGAGTAAGTAAAGAAAGCACTGTGCTTGTCCAAAGCAAGAATGGCATGGTTCAAGGTGCTATCATGTCTCTGACAGGCAACAGAGCCAAAAATAAAGAGGTTCAACTTAGAATCACAGTTGTAATCCACAATACAAAAAAAAATGCAAGTTCATTTTAAGCATCAAATAAAAATCCCTCAAAAGCAGTTTTCTAAATTCACACGATGAAAACATGCACGACTTCTAACAGATTACAGCATACAAAGAGAGTAAGGAAACATTTAATGATTTTTTGGAAATAAGAAAGACAAAATATCAAATATCATTCAGTTGGTGCACCTTTAAATGAGCATCCTTCCAACAAGAAACTTTCAGTTTTAATACAAATAATTTGAAGAAAAAGTTAAAAAGCATCACATATTCATTACCTAAAAGAATCCCATTCTTAAATGGCTTTGAGAAGCATTACTCTTCTTTTATCTGAAAAATTTCTTCTCCACTTAGGATCCCAGACCCAAAGTCACACTCTCCCACCTAGAAACCAACCTCTCCACTGATTGATCAACCTGGTCGAAAATAGAGAAAATCCTTGGAAACTTAACTCTAAGAGGAGTATTCCTAACCACATGATCTCTCTAGACATAAGTGAGAATACCAAATCCAATTTTCTTATGCAGGTTATCCATAAACCAATCCAAGTGGTCCTCGGCTTTGGTGTCAAGGATGTTAGATAGTATAATTCTTGTTCACTCGAAATGTCAAGACATAAGGTGTATGTCGAAATAGCTGGTTGTATAGGTTGTAAGTTGTATTCGACAGAGTCGAATACAACAACTATAGTAGTGCCTCGAAAATATGTTTTTTTGGCTATAGCATGTAGTTAGTCGAATTGGGTTTGGGCATTGTATGTCTATATAAAGGACTTGTTAGTTTGTAATTTTACACATTCAATACAATCACATTTCACGTTTACAATTCAGTTAGAATCGTAACAAACTTTCAATCTCGCTTTCTTTATTTTCGTCTTCTTCCTCTTTCATAAATCATCTTTCTTGAAAACCCTTTGATCCAATAAATTGATATCACAGAGCTCGGTTGCGATTCAGAGAGAATCTAATGGCAAACGGAACAACAACGTCAACGCAATTTCCAGCAAATCTACCGGTTTTCAAAGGAGAAAACTATCAACGGTGGGTTGCGCAAATGAAGGTTATTTTCAGATTTCAAGATCTTGTTGAAATCTTGAATGATAGATTACCAGAACTGAAAGAAAATGCGACAGAGGCTCAGAAAACTGCACACAAAGATCCGAGGAAGAAAGATGGTAAAGCACTGTTCTTGATTCATCCGTGTGTGGATTCTAATGTATTTGAGAAGATAATTGAAGAAGAAACGACAAAAGGAGCGTGGGACATGTTAAAGAAATTGTATGGTGGAGATGAGAAATTGAAGAAGGTGAAGTTGCAGACGCTAAGGAAGCAATATGAGATGATTCAAATGAAAGAAGATGAATCAATTTCTGCATATTTCTCAATAATTGTGACGCTAACAAGTCAAATGAAGGCATGTGGTGAATCGGTTACGGATCTGCAGAAGATTGAGAAAGTGTTAAGTTCTTTAACTATAAATTTTGACTACATTTTTGTGACAATTAAGAGGCCAAGACTCTATCTGAGATGAAGTTGGAAGAACTTCAAGTTTCATCGGAGGCTCATGAAATGAGGTTGAAGCAGAGGAACTCAGAAAGAGAGAAGGTGATTGAACAAGCATTGCAATCAAGATTCAACAAGAAATATGGAAAAGAGAAGTCGAAGTCGCGGAAGAATCTTTCTAGTGATGAGAAGTCAAGCAAGAATTTTGATTCGATTAAAAATGGTATGTGCAACAAGTATCCTGGGAAGAAAGTTGACACGAAAAAGGTGCAGTGTTACAGTTGTCAAGATTTTGATCACTATGCTCGAGACTGTCGAAGAAAGAAAGTAGCAAGGGAGAAAGATAGTGATGAAGCTCAATATGCACGAGCTGAAGATAGTGATTCTGATGATGTGTTGTTGATGGTGAACACTCAATCGAACACTGAGAAAAACAACATGTGATATCTGGATTCAGGATGCAGCAACCACATGACTGGCAATAAAAATTGGTTTACCAAGTTAGATGAGTCAGTCGAAAAGGTGATAAAGTTTGCAGATGGTAGGCACATCAAATCAGGTGGTAAATGAGATATTTTGATTGTCAGGAAGGATGGTCGAAAGGCCATTATCACTGAAGTGTTATATGCACCTTCTATAACAAGTAACTCGATAAGTGTATGTCAATTACTTGCAAAAAGTTTCAATATAAAGCTGGAGAAGAATCAGATGAAGGTATATAGGGCTTATATGAGGATAATAATGAAAGCACCATTGGCGGAAAAATAAAATATTCAAAGTTGAACTCAACACATCGGATCACAAATGTCTTGCTTCAACTACAGAAGAAGACAAGAACTGGCTATGACACCACAAGTATGAACATCTAAACTTCAGAAGTTTATGCATTCTCAATCAGAAAAGGATGGGGTTTAGGTTGCCTTATGTGAAGGAACCAAAGCAGGTGTGTGAGGAATGTTGCAAAGCAAAGCAGGCGAGGAAGACATTCAAACATGATTTGCCTATGAAATCAAAGCAAAAATTGGAGTTGGTTCATTCTGATGTGTGTAGACCTTTTGAAGTAAAGTCAAATGGAGGTAATATGTATTTCCTTACTTTCATTGATGAATTCACTAGACATATATGGATTTACCTTATTTAAAGAAAGAGTGAGGTACTCACACAGTTCAAGAAGTTCAAGTTGCATGATGAGAAACAAAGTGGATACAAGCTGAAGAAGTTGAGAACTAATGAAGGTGGTGAGTATATGTCTGCTGAATTTGCTAAAGTTTGCAATGAGGAAGGTATATAGCATGAGGTTATTTCACCATATACACCTCAGCATAATGACATAGCTGAGAGAAAGAATAGAAGTATACTCAACATGACGAGAAGTATGTTGAAAGCTAAAGATATGCCTAAGAGATTTTAGGCTGAAGCAGCTTCAATAGTGGTATACATTCTAAACAGGTGCCCAATAAAGAAGATGGTCGGAAGAACAACTTATGAGGCTTGGACAGGTTCAACGCCAAATGTGAGTCATCTTAAATTTTTCGGATTAATGTGCTTCAGGCATGTACCTGAAAAATTGAGAAAGAAGTTGGATGATCGAAGTGAGATAATGATGCTTATAGGTTATCATTCGACTGGTGCATACAAGTTGTATTTGCCAAACAAAGATAAACTAGTGATCAGTCGAGATGTTCTTGTGGACGAAAGCAAAGGGTGGGACTAGAGTCAAGGTTTAGTTCGAAAGGAATCAGACACAGTCACAACTGTGTTCAAAGAAGATCAAAAGAATGAAGCTTCAACAAGTCGAAATGAACAAGGTGATGCTTTAACCAACCAAAATGAAGAACCACTTGTGCATAATGAAAGAAGGTCAATAATAATAATAATAACTGAATCTACAAGGCTAGTTAGATATAAAAGTTTTCCAGATCAAGCAGTTGATGCAGATGGTGATTTAATCGAAGAAGCCATAATGATGGCTGAAGCAGAACCAATTGATTTAGGAGAAGCCATGAGTAATTCGAATTGGTGTGAAGCCATGAAATAAGAACTCAGAGCTATTGAGAAGAACAAAACCTGGGAGCTTGTCGAAATAACTCATAAGAAGCCAATCGATGTAAAGTGGATCTACAACAAGTCAGCTATTGACCTGGCGAATCACCCAATGTGTCATGGTCGAAATAAGCACATAGAAAGAAGGTATCATTTTCCGAGGGACCGAGTCCACAAAAGGAAGCTGGAGATAAATCATTGCAAGACAGAAGTACAACTAGCTGACATATTCACCTAACCTCTGAAGAAAGTCAAATTCGACGAATTAAAGAGAAGCATCAGGATGAGAAGTCTCGAGAACACGAATTAGGGGGTGTGTTAGATAGTATAATTCTTGTTCATTTGAAATGTCAAATGACATAAGGTGTATGTCGAAATAGCTTATTGTATAGGTTATAAGCATTATTCGACAGAGTGGAATACAACAACTATAGTAGTGTCTCGAAAACATGTTTTTGGGCTATAACATGTAGTTAATCGAATTAAGCCCGGGCATTGTATGCCTATATAAAGGGCTTATTAGTTTGTAATTTTACACATTCAATACATCACATTTCACGTTTACAATTCAGTTAGAATCATAACAATCTTTCAATCTCTCTTTCTCTATTTTCTTCTTCTTCCTCTTTCATAAATCATCTTTCTTGAAAATCCTTTGTTCCAACAAAGGAGAAATACTTCTTTCCACCAAGGAAACACAGTTCAAATACAACCATCTCTACCCTCATAATAGAGGAAGCCTGAGTAACTTCATATCTAGCAGATAAAATATCATATCATAGACCTGAAGCACACGAGACCAGCCTACACCTCCACTTACCCAAAAGGGATAAGTTAACCAAACGAAGGTCACGGGCACCAAGACCTCCTAACTTCTTAGGCTTGCACACATCAGACCACCTAACCTTGTAAATCTTTGAGACCTCTTTCATTCATCCCTAGATAAATCTCCTTTGAGTTTTCACTATCATCTTCCACACCTTAATATTCATCTTTAAAAAAAGACAAAAATAAGATAAAAATGGCATTAAGAACAAATTTAAGAGGGATCACTCACACTCTTAGGGACACATACTCATGCCTCCATAAGAGGAGTCATCTAGCGATGAGATTAACTAGAGGTTCCCGCGTAGAATTCAATTAGAGGTTGGGCCCCACAAAAATTCAAGGTAGTTGAATAGAAGAGACTCTTTCTTACAATTAACGAAGGCTTGAGGCTAACTCAAATCCACATAGAATATCCTTGATGGACCGTAGATTCTCTATGGAAGCATCCGCGAGTATAATTCTGTCATCCATATATTGAAGATGGGAGACCATAAAATTTGAAGATATCATTCTAAAGCCCGAGAAAAGCTGCAGATCCACGATCCTATAGAACAATCCGCTAAGATCTTCTGCCACCAGGAGAAAAAGGAAACGAGCTAGGGGTCACCTTGCTTCAACCCCCTTTGAATACTAATTTCTAGGGTATGACAAACCAAGACTGTAAGATTACCACAAAACACACAAGTATGAATTCAACCTCTCCATTTATCATTTAAACTCATATCAAGAAAGCATATAATCTAAAAAGGATCAGTTAATTGAATAATAAGCTTTCTCAAAATATACTTTAAAAATAAGACTATTTTTTTATTAATCTTATCTAGTTCCATCAAATCATTCAAGACAACCATCTCATAAACTAACAACCTACTTTTGAGGAAGACTAACTAGTTAGGAGAAATAAGTTTATCCCTAACACTACTCTCCAATACTTTGGAATCACGGTAACAAAGAAGGAGGAAAATATATAGGTTAGAGAATCAAACTGATGAAATAGATCAAATATAACTCCAACATCATCCCTAAGGAGGGACCAAAAACTCTTAATAAAGGAGGAGTTAAAACCATATGGGTCAGGGCTCTTTTATTAACATCACACTGAGCAAGTTCTCGGTCAATCTCAATGAGAAGGAAAAAAGCAGTAAGACCGACATTATTCTCCTTAGAGAGAGAACTGAAAGAGACTCATCTAACTAAAGTCGATCAAATAGTGGTTCTCTAAAATGGCTGGAAAAGTGATTAAACACTTCCTGATAGATCTCATACACCCCTTCAACCCAACCATCCCCTACCTTAAGATCTAAGATTGAATTTCTTCTATTTCGTTTCTTAATACAAGCAT